GCTAAAAAAACACCCTCTTTTACAGGTTTGCCAATTCCAGAGAATGTAAGAGCTGTTGAAGAGGAATGTGGTTGTATTAATGTCACCTGGAAGGTAGTTAATGATAACAGATGTATGACTAATAATTATCATATTCAGAGCAGCCATAACATGACATCAGTAAACACAACCATAAGTTGGGGTGGGGTCCGCAGCAGTGGAGCCAGACATTATGAGAGAGGTAGTTCTGAAGACTCTCATCTACTGACATTAGACTACTCTGAGACTGGACCAGTGGGAATTGCTGTGACATTCTCTAGTGCTGTCTGTAACAAAACCACTGTCACTCACTACCTCGGTAAGACTGTGTTCTTGTCTTGTGGTGTGTGTGTGTGTGCCACTCTCTCCACATCTACTCTGCAGTTGAAGGAGTGTTGACTAGTGTGTACCTGAGGTCCAGGACACTAGTCATTGAGAGCAGAGACTGTGTTGCTAGACCTGAGAACTACTGGATAAGAGTTTGCTTTGTTGACACTCCCACTCCACCGTTGGTGCTTGCTTTCAGTACAACTGTGGAATATGACTTAGGAGGGGACGTAACAAGCTACAAAATCATAAGAGTGGAGTTAGTTGAGACCACATCCAACACCACTATTGATGAGATGGACACTACAATTTTGTTATTTTCCCCTACTGCAACAGCTTCAGAACCAGGTTTAGTCTATTGTAGACACTCCATGCATAATAATATTTGACGGAGTTGTGGTTTAGGTGTGACTGCGGCAGCTGCAGACTCAATAAACGTGTACACCACAGTGGGTGTGGCTGTGGGAGGAGTGATAGTTGGAGTGGCAATGACAGTAGTTGTTCTAATGATTGTCAGGAAGATGAAGAAAAACTTTAAAGGTAGATATACTTGTGATAATTGACTAGAGATGTTCTTGTTTACTGTCGCCTTTGAAGAAACAGAGCAAACCAGAGACTCCACTGTGGGACAAACAGTGATGGATGCAGTGAAGTGTGTTTGTTGTGCACTCCATAAAGGGACTCAGTAAGTGTGCTGCTTTATTTTACATTGCAAGTTCCCCAAAAATAAGTCACATTTTGGTTTCAATCCTGTTATCAGGATATTATATAGGCATACACCATCTGCTGTATGTATAGCACTGAATGTACACATGGAGGTGATATCCTGTGTTTTTTCATCAGTGTAGTCACTTTTACTTTCCATCCATGACTGTTTAAGTACCATCACTGTACATACTGATTGCACATGGAGATAAAAGCCGGATCGATCCATGCTGTGATCCTTTCAATAAGCATACATTAAGGCACATTTAGTTTCAATCCCTCTTTAGGTGGGTGTATAGTATGTTTCACATGCATGGAGATAAAGGTTTGGACAATAATTCAGTATGCATACTATTTTCCTTCATACACTTACACACACAGTGTTGTTCGTGAGTCCCGACCTCCAGCAGTGGTGTATGAGACAGTGAGTGATGTGGTGACACCCACTGGTCCAGACACCAGTGAGAACGTGGCTTATGGAGTCTCTCACTCTCTACCCACCACCACACAACACAACCCTGCCTATGGAGTGGCCAGGAAGAAGAGATTGCCAGGAATAATACATTGAAACCATCGCCCTAGTGCTATAGCTGCCCCATGAGTGTTATAAAGCTTTTTAAAGCCTCAATTGTTGTTGTCAACAAAACTTGATAATCATGTGTCCATATCATGTGATCAAATTTCATATATAGATATGCACCATATTTTTCTTGAAAACGTGTGTGGATATAGTCACGCATAGTAATGGTGGAAAATTAACTTAAAAGATCTTTGTTGCGTGACAGACTGGTCTGTGAGCAGTGAGAGGTGTTTTGAATGTCCTCATACACAGGAGGTATCTCAGTCTGGCCTCTCTTCCCTTTCCTATGACAGTGACCATGACATTTAGTCAGTAGGACACCAAGTAGCAGTCCAGCAGTGAAGCTACACACTACACACACTACTCCTGTTGTGGCCACTGCTTCTGCTGTGCTCAGGGGCATAGGGGTTAAGCAAAAGCAATAAACTGTCAGCAGCATGCATTCAGGAACTTTGTTTGTGTTAATTGTAGCATTTACATTCTATGACAGTCGTTTCCTCAAGGCAAAACACGCGACCCCTTGCATGCTCGCATGCGGCACGCGGCCGCGGAGTATCTCTCTAGCTAAGGTGTGGCTTTTGTGAGCGCACGTCCGCCGTGATGGAACCCCAGGTATCTAGCGAAGCTAGTTTGTCAGAGGTGCTAACAGATCTTTTGTCTTTAGGCTCTCGTCAAACTTTGGATTTTGGTTTTTGCTTACTGTGGCTTGCATGTTGGAGGTGAGAGCACATGCACAGACTGCCACAGGCTCCCAGCTTTGTATCACGTATTTTACTTTAGTGACTATAGAGGCAATTATTTTACCATTCCAATAGTCTTGTTTGCTAGACTTTTTTTTACTACCCTCGCTGTTTAGTTGTCTTGTTACTAGACACCCTGACCCTCCTTCTTGTCTGGCATTTATAGAGGGTTTTGCTACTGTAGTTTGTGTGTTTACTCAGTAAAGAACTCTGCAGGTGTACAGCACACATGTAATCTATATGTTTCATCAGTGCGAGTGTTGTTACCACACTGAGGAAAACTGAACTACAACTTCACGGGGCATAAAAATGCATGGATACCTACCTTTATCTTCATTCAGGTACAGATGGAATAGTCCTCTCTTCATCAGTGGAGTCTGAGAATGGACATGTAACAGTGTGTCCTGATACCACCATCTCATTCACCTGCTCAGACGCTGTAGTCTTCGGTATGGTATGGTACGCTCTACCTCTTCTCAATGAAGACAGCTCTCCTGCTCTGGGATCAGACACTGATATTGGAGATCCTCATATGGTGGAGGGTGTGTTTGCTATCACTCTAGTGTCCAGGGAACTGATGATGGGTGACTTTCGTGGCAACTATACCTCAACTCTGGATGTGGTGGTGAATGATAGAATACAGAATGAAACAAATGTCACCTGTTATACACTATCCTCTGTGGCCTCTCTTCTCATTTTTAAACAAGGTTTGTTTTACTGTATTGTCGGGTGCAAGATATTTTGGGGTTATAGTCATTCTATGGTCAAGCTCACAGAATTAACATCTGAATGTGTCCCAGCAGGAGTTCAATTTCTGTACAGTTTTATATTTTGGGCACACAAAATATTAAATTTGCTTCATAATTATTATAGAGAAATATTATATTTTTGAACACACTTATAAAATGTTTAGCATGAAATGCAGGTTCTCCACTTTCTCCTCATGTGGACTTCAACATAGAGAGTCATTCCATAGTGAATTTCACAACCTGTTTCACCTGGCAGAGACAGAAGTCTGATTTGTACTACCTGATCAACACTAGCTCTGGCAGAGAATATAATGAAACCTCAACTGAACTCTGTCTGAGAGCAGAGTATAATACTCCTCTACAAGTTTCAGTGGTGGCTGTGAATTGTGCAGGGGAAAGTGAGCCAATGACTACCTACATCACCATACGTATGGAAATGACTTACTCTATTGCTAACATCAAGATTGATTCCTCTCCCTCAGCTGGCTGTGGTCCTCCCAGTCCACCAGTGAATGGTATTGTTGGTGAGTGGACCAGTTCCAGAGTAGGAGCACAGGTCACCTACTCCTGTGACACCCACCTGGTTCTGGTGGGAGAGACTGTGGCCACATGCTCTCTCCCTTCTCTCACATGGCTGCCAAGTAGTGATGATGTTACCTGTGCACAGCCAGCAGGTATTTTATATTCGTACCATTAATCATTATAATCTTGGCCCACAATATGCAGTATTAACCAGCAAAATTCCGGTGGTGACACCGACCATGCAACCAATGAGTAAGGCTGATGCCCTGAGCGTTACAGTCTTACAGCCTATATAATTATATCTCCACAGATGATAAAAGAGGCAGTTCTCTGAGTACAGCAGAAGCAGTGTCCACAACAGGAGTAGTGTGTGTAGTGTGTAGCTTCACTGCTGGACTGCTACTTGGTGTCCTACTGACTCATGTCATGGTCACTGTCATAGGAAGGGAAGAGAGGCCAGACTGAGATACCTCCTGTTTATGAGGACATTCCCTTGGAGAAGACAACTCCCATTGAACTCAACACCAATGAAGCTTATGGACACATCTCAAGATGATTGTCATGTCATTACTGACTTCACCTTTCACTACATAAAAGTTCTGCTGTTTACATAGAAAGAAATTGTTACTGTAGTTTCCTACAAAAACATTGACATGTAAATTGTTTTCCTAGAGTAACATGCATAACTCTCTCACAAAATATACCATAAGTTCATGAGGTCAGGAAAGTGCTGACTAATCATTTTAGGTGTTCGTGTTGCTTGTAGCTCGACAAAAATCGAGGTCATAAGTAGCTATGTTGAATATAAAAGGTATCCTGGTAAGCGATTTACGATTCTATTATCATCTGTGTGTAATTCCTCCTTTATTTAGATGAGGCTGTACACATTGGCTGCAATAGTTTCCTCTGGAGGTAGTAGGAAAGTTTAAGAGCAGATAAACAATATTTTTTTACAAATTTCTACCTCACACTTATTGTCAATGGAGAAAAAGCCTGAGGCTTGTAGAGATAAAGGCGCCTGTCTTATAACTTGCAGCTATTAGTAATTGTCGAGCAAGACTATACCCAATCATCTATAAGCTAACCATAATACAATAGGCAGCACAAGGCACACTGTAGGTACGTTATGTCTACGTGTACAACCAGCATGTTGTAAGAGATGCACTTCAGAATCCTGATTGCCATTTCAGTGGACACAGACTACTGTTCTCCATTCTGTGTATGTACCTCATGAGACTGTGTTTTAGCCTATATTTCCGAACAGCTCAAACCACACCTCCACTCCCAGTGTATTCATAATTTGGTGTCTACTTCCAGATTTTGCAATCAGCATGCTGTGGGAAAAGCTTCGTGCCCACACCTAGTCTTGCAATGCATAAGTATTAGTTAAAGTTGTGTGCTTTTGAAGCATGGCTGATAAACAGCTATTGATCTTTATGTAGTGTCCAAGGTCTGTCCCTGTCTCCTCTCCATCATCTGAGATGGCATCATATCATCTGTCCTGCTACAACTGTCACCCTCACCTGTACTGCCAGTGGAGTTGGGGTCTGGGATGGAGAGTTCAGAATAGACTGATTGATGGATTTTTAGCATGTGGTAATGAGTCCAGGATGATAGAAGACGGTCCCTACACTCTGACCCTAGTGTCAGTAGATAATGATGGTGGCAATTGGTTGCTGACTTAACCTCTACACTGGAGGTTATGGTAGATGACATCGCCAATCGAACTACATCTCCTGTGCTACATCCAGGAATCAGAAACACCTGGTCATCTATAAAATAAGTAGCTACCAAAGAACAATTGTTTTTCCTTTGTATAATGTCTTTATTTGTAGGTGCACCATTTCCTCCATCTAACATGATAGTGAGAACAGAGAATTTCCAACCTGACAGCTTCTCCATCATCATCTCTTGGGAGTCAGGGAAGATGAAGTGGTTTGATGAGTACAGAATACTGACCAAACACCACTACACAGTCCATCACCACTACCAATACAACTATAGTTCTAGAGGGAGTGTACAACATCCTCTGGAAATCAGAGTCTCCGCCATCAACTGTGCAGGCACTAGTGCAGAGGTCACTGAGGAAGTCTTTGTTGGCAAGTTGTCTCACTTAGTGAAGAGATAACTATTCCATTGGCTCTC